AAGAAATACCAACTACAAGTGTGATATCCAGATTCTGACGGTACAGAGGTCTCCCTAAAAAACAAAATGTCAATTGCGAATGTTACCTAACCAGCTGCGGAGCGAAGAAACTCTTCTGGAACACATAAAAACCGTGCCTAAACCAAGAATTATATGTGGTGACTTCAATGTACATATAACAATGTGGGGCTCGGACTCCACTACACGTAAAGGAGAGATCTTGGAAAGCCTTATAACAGATCAGTCTTATGTAATATTAAACAACGGTTCCCCTACCTATATGAACGCTGACACGGGCAAACTCAGTCATATAGACCTAAGAATGGCATCCCACACTGTGGCCTCCCGGGCTCATTGGGAAGTTATACAGGATCTTCACCATAGCGATAGATTAAGACAGTGCTAGAAGTGGAGAGATTTGACTATAAACATATCATCAGATATCACACAAATAAAGCAAGTTCGGAGGCGTATTCAATTCAATTACAAGACCTGAAGCTCACTGAAAACGTGGAAGAGTGCGTCCAATTAGCAACCAAACAAATAATAGATGCGGCGGAGAAGACTATCCCTAAAACGACTCAATATTGCAGAACATCAGCAGTACCATGGTGGAATCCTAAAATAAGTGAAGCCAACAAAGAAAACAAGAGATTATTTAACACCTACAAAAGGAAACCTACAGATGCCAATTTATCTAATTTTAATCGTGCTAGAGCCAAAGAAAGGAGGCTCAAACAAGAGGCTCAAAATACATCGTGACGAAACTACATTTCAGGAATCAACGAAAACACAACGAGTACGGAAATATGGCGCCCAATGAAAAACATAATGGGCAAGAGCTGTGCACCCCAGCTCCCTATAATTGAATATCAGGGCAAAGTTATCTCACAACCAAGTGAAGTCGCTGAAAAGGTTGGTGTTTGCTTTGAGGAAATCAACAAAAGAGTTAATTACACAGAAAACTTTCTGAAACTGAAACGCATAGAAGAAAATAAACACTTGGAATTTGAAGATGGTGAAAATTACAGATAGGTACAATAGGTTGATCACGATTGAAGATCTAGATCTTGTTTTAAAAGGGCCTAAAGACACTTCCCCAGGGGTAGACGAAATTGTACACTCTATGATTGCGAACATTTGTACAATAATATAAAGGAGAAAGTAGTTCAATCATTTAATAAAATTTTTACAAATAATACTTGCCCAACATGCTGGAAGGAATCTACCTATCCCCAAGCCTGATAAAAACCACGCAGACATTCAAAGCTATCGCCCAATTTCCCTCACGTCGTGCCTAGGAAAGTTGTATGAGAAAATAAATTACTGAAATTCTTGAAGGTCTCAAGGTCATTAGCAAATATCAATCTGGTTTCAGAAAGTGGCATTCAACCATACTCGTAGATCAACTAGTTTTATTAGACCACACCGTCAAAGAAGCATTCTGTGAGAGAAAGCAAGCATTAGCGATATTTTTTGATTTAGAAAAAGCCTTTCACACCTTTTGGAAACATGAAATATCGCTGCAATTGTACAATAGAGAGAATTCACATTTTTAGGCTTTGCTACAAATGGGTTCTACTCATTTAATTAATACATACAGCATTTTTTAAAAAATCGCGAGAGGCTGGAAAACGTACCCTGGAGCGAGACTGCTCACTCTGACGTCAGTAGCGCGCTATGTAATGTTGCTTATAATAAATCAATGGAAGTCGTTTAAAATTAAAATATTGCCGTTCAATAAGTTCAAGTAAATGAATACACAAAAATTTAATATTTAAAAAAAAACTAAATGTTGACATTGAGGGATTTATGGCAAATTGACCAAGAACTTCAACCTGAGTTGCTTCATTAAGCAATCTTGGTTGCTTCATTAAGCAATCTTGGTTGCTTTCTTTTTTTATTGATAACAGATCCCGTTTCTTCGAATTTAGCCGCCAAATCTTGAACATAGGCATGGCTTAATTTTTATTTTTTTTTTGTTAATTATTATTAAATTTTTGTTAAATTGTCTTAATGAATATTGACTTTATTGGTACCACCCGAAATCATTTTTCAATAGCTTTCCAACGATGTGTCACAAGTATGGGGTTGCCATTTAGGATTTTTGAAGAGAGGGGGTTGGGGCTGGGGGGTTAAGGGGGGGTAGGGGGTTGTCGGCAAATATGGCCGACTGCAAGTTTTAAAATTGCCCCTGTATAATACAGAAATCCCTTGGTGCGACACAATCAAATTTCTCGGCATATACATTGATAAAGAATAAACTGGAGAGAACACGTACAAACCATAATAACGAAAATAAAAAAAACAAATAAGAGCAATATGCAGCTATAAATGGGGTGGCGAACTAGCCACAATATATAAAATAATAAACAATTTCATATTATCCAATGCAGATTATGGCGCTGTCGTATTTGGAAACTCCGCTTAATCCCTTTTAAAAAAGTTGGATTCAACTATCTTAAAAATAATTCGAACATCAAGCGGAGCATTTAGAACCTCTCCCGAAAACAGTATATACCGCGAAACCGGCTTTCTACCTCCTAGTTATAGAAGAAGGAAGATCATGTTGAAATATGCCATAAAAATAATGCGCCAAGAACACAGAACCTAACATCTTAGACTGCTATTACTTGGGCGCAAACAAGGAACTAACCATGCACATTTGTTAAAAATAAACTTGTAAAGAGGAGCAACTTACCTTCATCATGACTGCTTAGTACCTAAAAAGAGAAAATACACTAACAACAAATAGTATCTCAGACAAATACTCCCCACCATAGATCAAATAAAAATATCTTTTTCCCGACAGAGGTAGCTAACAATCTTAGCAATTGATGGTTCCTCTATCGTTGATCTAAATCGAGAGATTAAAAAAATTATAATATAATATAATATAATATAATATAATATAATATAATATAATATAATATAATATAATATAATATAATATAATATAATATAATATAATATAATCTCCGCAGGGGTTTGGGTTTCCAAACTTTGGGGAGTTGCGACCCCGCGGACCTAAGCAAGTGGAGAATGGCTAATCCAATCTCTCTCCAACTATACCTACCCAGAACCACTTCTGCAGCGTACCCTCCATAATACCCCGTTCCCTGATGTACCTGTTTTTTTTTCACCCGAAACCTCAAGGTGTTAACCGTATTATTGGGATGTATCGCCTTACGATAGTGGGTTCTTTATGGTTTCTATGTGTTGTATAATGTTTGTACTCGTCCGTGTGAGTCAAGCGATCATGAAATTAGTATTGGTACGATAGGACTCCGCTGGTTTTCTTTATACACCCTACGCTGCAGGCGGTAGCTCTAAAACGCGTCAATTTTCTTATGGAAGATCAGAAAAACACAAACGGTAGGACTGGATCGGACCCCTATTGGAACCATCTTAATGATCGATCCGGCTAGATAATGGATGGTGGCTCCATTCCTTGTGAGACGCCTTAATACAAAAAGAGACGACATCCTTAAAAATACACCGGGTCATGTTCTAACATTCAATACTCAAAATTTGTCCTCTAAAATTGAAGTTGATTTTGACAGTTTTAGTGTCAGATCATACATACCACCACCAGTATGTTGTTTTAACTGCCATAACTTCTTGGTCACGTTGCAGAAAAGTGACAAGTAGAAAAGAAATGTTCGTGTGAAAGATTTCTACGCATGAGAGGAGACGAAGAAATGCGATAAGATATAAGAACTGTTCAATAATATAATATAATATTTATGTGTAGGTGGTACAGTGAATTCTTAAATATAAATTTTGCTGAGATGTAGTGAGTAAAAGGCGATCGCGACCGCAGCACGATCGATGAAATAAGCATTTCAGCAATTGCTTACTGCCATGGCTTACACGTTTCCATTCATATGGTTCTTGGTACGTCTAGATTTAGTGCCTTCGTAAAGCTGTACGTATCACACGAAACTCCAGATACTTGCAATTTATGCAAATGGAAATGTAGGCTGTAGGTCTTATCACAATCTTGTTATTTGAATTTCATTTCTCCTTCCTCGAATTGGAGAATATCAAACAAATAAGTCTCATGCGAATGTTGAATTTGAAAAACAACTTAATTGTGTATTCTGGAAAATACGACAAGATCCTTTCCAAATGAACTGGGCATCATTCTGTTGGGGACGCCATTCTAAAATTGCATTTTCACTCGATTATTGTTGGATGAACGCATTACTCTTAGAATTAATTAACGAAAAAAGGTGCGAAACACGACACTTTGCCCGTGTAATTAAATTTAGCCTCTAACGAGCCCCTACAGTTGGTGCGTTTTAATTGATCGTTACCAATAAATTATAACCAGTCGAGTAACTGTATTTCATTTATTATCCAACGCCCGACGCCGCCGTCAGTACATTTTTATCTTTAGCTGGTAATTTATTAAGGTCGCTTCCGTACCTACATTTTTTAGGGGGTGCCAAAAGTGTGGATGTATAAATTTTAGTGTGGATGTTTAATACGCGAATCTCAAAATTTACGCTTGCCCATGCAGTCATTAATTTATTATTTCCTTGCACGACGTTATGGAAAGAAACGAGCATCAGGGAAAATGCGAAAAAATGTACGATAGTTCGCTTTTTAGGTTCTACGTAAGCATTTCAAATTGCGGGTCGAAAAATTCCACATTCTACATGTATTGCAACGCAACCCTTAGTCAGACCGCCCTTTGTGTTCGGTCTTCTATACAACATTTAGTGAGAAGAGCAAGCCCTATCGTGCACTTTAACCTACTCAGATGTACAGTATCCCCTCGGAAGGACTGAAGGCTATGTGCCCCAATCGCGTCCTAAATCCTGTCTAATTGCACAACGAGAAAAAATTCCGTTGCACTTTTTACCAAAACGCGATAATAACGCGTCCTTGACAAACTCCAAGAATGTCTTCCACTCGATAACAATTTAGCCAATCTTTTGCTCGAGATAGTAACAAATAAAAATAAATAAATTTTTGACACGGTTATTCGTTCTAATTATACCATCCGTTTAAATGGGTCAACAGATAACGTTCGACCTTTACGATAATATTAAAACTGACCATTAGATTCAAAATTTAGAGTGGTGTAGGATCTTGCACGTCCGAAATTATTGAACATTTTTCGAGGTAAGCGATTTTAATTTACCGCCCTTTAGGAAAAGTGGCGATTTATAATCGGTTTTTTTTTCATCCGAAAATACATTTATTTTATCACAGCGCGGAAGTGAATCGTAAACAATGAGACATTTAAAATCAATACACTTCAAAAGACTCCCTTCATCTCTCGTATTTTAAGTAATAATTTAGAAAAAAAAATGTTTTTAAATTTGAATTTCAATTCAATGCAACATGTTTAATGAAAAATTTACAATTTAAAATCCTCTTGTTTGTTAGAAAATGAAAATGCGGATAGACGTTGATTTCTTAAATACAGAGGCAACGTTCGTTTTGCTACATCCAGTTTAGTGCGAGAGGGGTAGTTTTTAATTCTGAGGTATCATTTTAATATTCCGCTGTCAATTTTGTATACTCGTACGTCGTCTTGTTTACATTGTTTATCAGAGTCGAACAATGTTCAAAGGGAAGATAGAAGTCCTAGTTTTCAACAATCTAAAATGCAATGATTTAGAATTCATAAACTCTTTAGAAGTAATAAGGGCTTTGTGGAATCGACATCTCCATAGATACTGGGATTATTATCCACTTGTGCTCCATTTACCTTACTCGAGCATAAGGCACTCACCAATTCCCTCGAAGTTTAGACAACACTAAATGGCATGTTGCAGTCTTGCAGGCATGTAATTTTCCCACTCATTTTTGCACACTATTCCTATCTTATTTTTCTCCTCTCCCTTTCCAATCCTTTCGAATTGAATCCCTAAAGACGGCTGCCCTCTTTAAATCTCTTTTAACCTAAACATTTTATTTCTTCTTTACCTACATAACTGCTAATTCTTCAAAACCCTTTGTTTGTTCAATAATTCACAAGGAGTGAAGTTCACAGCAATGTTGGTCACAATAATTAGTATTCATTTTTAAGTAATTTTTTCCAGTAATTTTAAGCATTTTCTTGGAATTTCAGTAAGTTTTTGGTATTTTAAGCAAAAAATTGAAAAATTCAAAACCTCCATAATATGAGTTTGCGTTATAAACAAATAAGCTACACTTGAAACTTGAGTTTGAGTGCTTTGGTCTTCACCTTGGAACATGAAGAGCATACATAGGTACGGTTTTAATCCTTAGGGTTTGAGTTCTGAAGCTCGCCTATAAAGCAAATCGTGTTGCAATCCAAAAATAAACCATTAAGATTTATTAACCTCACGCTTCAATTAAGCAGCTTAAATTTTAGAAAAGAAAATAGAAAAAGAAATATATTAAAATATTCATTTAAAAAAATGCAAGTTTTATATAGATCACCCTGTGTAACAATTGCAATTTCGTTGAAAATATTTTTAGGTTGTAGCCTTAAAGGTCCTTCAACATGCCCCGGCAATGAATTTTACATATGTGCGTAAATAAACCCACTCACATACTAATGACCCACACTGTATAGTTTGCGAGAACGCATTTGTACTCCTGATGCTTACTCAGTTGATAGATAGGTACTTTATTGATGCATTTGCCATACATTTTTAACACTAAATGTTGATATATCATATTTTTGTGAATGTCTTCCCCTTTTTGTATTAACCTCTTCATTCATTTGTTTTCTCTTGCTCTCTCGTTCGGTATTTCTTTCCTGCTTTCCCTTCCTCTTTCTACCTCTCTATATTCCCATATCAGATGGCCAATATTTTACTCTTTCTCTCCACATGGTCCGCATTTCCTTTCTTCCTCTGTCCACTCCTACTTTCCTCTTTCCTCGTTTCCGCATTTGAACCTCGCCATTAGCATGATGTTTTTCCTTCACTCCCTTACACATCGACACCCTCTCCGTTATTAGCTCATTGTACCTTCTGTTGCCGTGTAAATTCTCGATTTTCGTTCTCTCTGTTGCTGCATCTTAGTCCCTGTAAGTTCCTCTTTCATCCTTTTCCCTACTTCTCTCCCCCTTTCAACCTCTGCCTGTCCGTATACGCTTACATTCATCATTTTTTCTTTGTTGCCATCATTTCACTTATGGATTCATCCTTGTTGACAAACATTCTTTCTCTCCTTTTTGCCTCATTACCTCGTTATCTGATATCCCAAATATTAAAATGCTCTTACTTTCTCTACTTTTCCTTACCTTCTTTTCCTTCCTCCCTCTTTCTCGAGTCTATTATCTTCGATTTCTCGACATTTAATTCCATTGTTTTTTCCCCAGTAGCTCTTGATTCTCCCTATCATTCCCTCCACCTGTTTTCCTCCGTTGCCATTATTCCTTCCATTCTTCTGATATTCCTCCTACTTTGCATACCTTGTATATTAGCTGTCTCAGCTTCTTGTGGCGAAGATTCATGCCAAATCTCCTATTTCATAACTAGTTTTCTCAGCTTTCTGTGGCAAATATCCATGCCACATTTCCTATTTCATCCCCCCCCCTCCTTACCCTTTTTCAGTCTCTTTAATTGCTGCTCAATCTCTTCTCTTGATATTTCGTCTCCTTCCACCTCTACTCTTCTATCTTCCTCTATCACATTCTCCTGCTTTCCTTGCAGTACCTTACTAAAGTGCTGTTTCCAGTCCTCTATTTGTGTCTCTTATTTCTTATTACGTTTTCCCCTTTTCTCTGTTTATTATCTTCCAAAAGTCCTTCTCTGTTCTTGTTTTTCTGATTTCTTATTTGTATTCTTTCTGTTTCTACATCTTTTTTTTTCCTTACATCCGCGTACATTCGGCCAGTATTTTTTCGTTTACTAGTACGTGATCAATTTCCGACCTCCATTTTCCTCCCGGATATGTGCAATTCTCATCTCTATCTCTCTCCACCCCCCCCCCCATGTTTCAGTTTCAGGGCGTTTTCGGAGAGTTATTTGTTTATTTCTGGGGTTTTTAAAAAATTTCGGGAATTAGAACTTTAATTTTGATCAATTATCTGTTTCGCGGATTAATTATAATAATGATCTAGGAAAACCTTGTGACGTAACTAATAATAACTTGTTTGATTTGGCGTCTTTGAGAGTTCTTGTTAAAAATACTCATTTTTTGAAAGGCGAAAGGAGGGGCGAAAGTGATGTACAAAGGAGATGATGAGAGGCTGATAATGATAAGCTAAATGTTAACGCGTCTGGAGACAGCCGAATACTAACAGGAATTAGAAAGTTTTTTTTTACAATGTAAGAAGAAAATGATTTCCAAATCTTTTGAAAACCCAATTAAGTTTGCAATTCCAAATCCAATTACCTATGTCAGCGGATGCTAATTAGGTTAATTACGAAAAAATCCGTTCACTTAAAGAACTCATCTTTATCTTCAATAAAGTAAACTAGTTCTCATCCTAGCTTCGTGTGGTTTGGCACATGGCTAAAGTAAAATTGGTTCTTATCTTAGCTAATGTCTCATATGGTTTGGATCTAGGTTAACGCGGATCAGTGTTTCTTCAGAACTTTGTAAAATTTTGAGCCTTTAATTTTGGGAAGATATTTGAAAATACGTTTCAGAAGTTGTAAAAAATTTTCGAGTTTAATTTTATCGCATAAGAGAAATGGGTTTTTTGGAAACTATTTAGTCATTCATGGGCGTTCTTAAAAATACGCAAACAATAAAGTATGTTGGATTGATGTTTGGTACGAACATTCGTTAGTAAGGGAGGTATTGCATTGGGGTAAAAAACTGACCCCCCCCCCACATTTTTTATAGAAATGCACGTTCTGAACTACCAGGAATCCGAATCAAACAAAATCTCGATGATCTCTGCCTGTCGGTTTGTCAGCCTGAACTCTCATTTCCAGCTAAACGGCTTACCCTATTGGAACCAAATTTAGTACACACATTCTTAGACATAAAAGGAAGAGCTTAAAAGCCTTTGGGCAGAATCGCCAAAACAAATTTTTGTTGTATTTTTCACTAAACCAGAAACTTACACCAAAAGCATCCCTGCCTCCTCAAATGTTAACATTCATTTTCGGATTGTTGTGTTACTTAGCACACGGCCCTTAGGAGCACCTGCGATGCACATAGTATCAGTAATTTTTTTTTTCCACCTACGGAACTAAAAGAAAATGAAAACTCCCATCTCTTTCAACCAACAACCCCTTCATTGACTCAACTAAAAGTAATGTGAAAAGTGTATGAAACTCTTTAAAGAAAACAGCTGCTCTCAAAATTCGTTAGGGTATTCAGTTTTCCCCCTGGTTTTCCCGGTACTTTCTGGTAACGCAACAACAAATGTTTACCTTTTTCCAGGACTTTGTGGCTCATTGGTTTCATAACGTCGTAAAATATGGTGCGAATGCTTTCAAGCGTTTGTTGTCCTGAAACTAAACTTGATTTTGTAGCACCATTGTTTACATTCCATTTATTCCTGCTCGAGATTAGGACAGCGGATCTTATTGCTCTGTTGCTTTGTGCTTCCTAGTCGAATGCTGGCCCTTTTAACCGTTTCGATTATCTCTCGCATAAAAGAACAATCCTCTCCCGCAAACGTATAGAGCGACTATAGGGATACATACGAACCCTCGAAGTAAATGTGCCCGAGAAAGTATGCGGCGCGTTTAAAATTACTTCGATCGGAAACCTACCACGTTTTCCTAAAAAAACTGGTGATAAAGAGGTGATCGAAATCACGAGAATCTACCACTCTCTCCCATTTTATTCATCTCCTAAGCGCATTACTTTTGCGAATCTCACGAGACGACCCGATCTTATCGAAAGATTCCCTTTCATATATTCAGCAGATTTATAATTGAATGTATTGTAACCGACGCTCACATTTTCAGAGAATGAAGATACTCCTGACGCTCTGCCTAATATCGTCGATCCACGCGATAAATCAAGTGGACACCTTTCTAAGGCGGCCCACTTGCGTTTGCACCGGAAAAATTACGGCGATTATGCACGACATCAACGGGGCGTATTGTATGTATTACGGCACCGGCGTCTACAGGAAGTGGGAGTGCGAAAATACGGAGGACTGGGATCAATTTTTGAGGAGCACGCCGAGACGCGTCGCCGAACCGACCTGCCAGTGTACCAGCACTGCGACCGGAATTATGCAAGACGAAACTGGAACTTATTGCGTATATAATGGGGTGGATAAAAGGACGCGCTGGGAATGCGAGAATACGGAGGAATGGGATTTATATAAGAGAAACCGATATTAGTGTTCGCATCGGGACACTCTTCGTTATTTATTTCCAATTTGTTCTAGATTTAAGCCTAGTCTAGCTTTAATTGAGGAAGAAATGAGCTTTCGTTGGCTTATGTTGCGTGGCGTTTATTTCAAATTGTAGCATTCATTTAAATTAACGACACAGTACCTTATCATAGTAAAATTAAATTAACTTAAAAGACCGTGCAACTTGTTCTCCACCTAGCAGAAGCTCCATTTGAGATCCATTGAAAATGTAGTTAGCACGCCCACCCCATGCCCCGTGGGAATATCAGAAAAAAGGCTGTAATACTTCAATTTTGCGTATAAAACTGCTCGGTGGACGATGGTGTAGCTAGACCAATCCGAAGAGAACATCATTTTACCCTTAAACCTTTTTTGTGTAGAAACCCATTAACTTCACGTATCAGGATCATATTTAAACGTTGGCAAAGTAGACTTTTAGGGTTGATTTTATCCCGTAAACAACAATACAAATAATGCATACTTCTGGGTTGAATTTTTAAATGATTTGCGGATTTATTTCTATTGGAAGTCGATAGAACCCTCTACTTGATTTGGACAAATTTAGCGAGGTTAATCGTTATATTTAAATTTAAATGATTTAATTAAGGGTGGATTTCATCCGGAGAATCACATTGCAAGCCGTTTCAAAGCATTCTTTTTATTTACTCTCTTGTAGTCCTTTAAGAGTTGACTCCCTCAGTCGATTAAATCCTTGCTCTTTGTGCATTCGCGATTTCCTATGTGTTTTATGTGCCTATGGGGTAAAATCGCTCGGGAAAATTTGACCTGGTAAATTTACCTTCGAAAATTCGCTCAAAGAAAATCGATAGATGTAAATTTGGCCCGGAAATTCTCCACCGGAAAAACTGTACCGGGAGAAAATTATACTCTGAAGATTCTCTTTCGAAAGAGAGAGCGTGGAAGATTCGCCCTGTGAAAATTCACCCACAGAAGATTCGCTCCCGATGTAAGTAGCCCAGAAATATTCGCATAGGACTCGCTCCCTTAAGATTCGGCCCTAGAAGAATCGCCTTGACATATTCGCTTTGATAAATCCACTCCCGGAATATTCGCCTCCAGGCGACCAGTTCCTAGCACGGAACAGCTTCCAAAGGGAATTTACCTTCAAGAAACTTTGATCCCAAAGTCCGTCCTTCAAAAACTATCCCTTGAAATAACTGCTGAATTTGCCCCTAAAAATGGTTCACCAGGGAAGTTGTCTCCGAAAGACTCTTCTCTGGAAAGTTCTGGTCACCTTCATAAAAATCTTTTTCAAAACGTTCTTCCACGGAAGATTAGCTTCTTGAAAATTTGTCCAAGAAGATGCTATTCCGAAGGCCTAGGTATATGGGATACGTTTGAAGAAGTTTTCCATTGTGTAGTAAACTTATATTATATTATATAATATTAGATTTAATAAAAACGAGTTACCTTACGGTGTTTTCTAATATAAAATTTTTATTTGTTTTCTATTTGCGATCGATTTCGGTGTTTACCATCGTTAGTCTACCGGAAAATTATTGCCATATGGAGATTCTCCTCTTGAAAATTCATTCCAGGAAGATATTTCCCAAATATTTGCTTCAGGCAATTCGTCCCCCGAGTTCGTTCTGAAATAATCGCGAGAAAATTTCACCAAGGTTCGCCCCCGAAAGAGCTCCATTCTAAGAAGATTCGTCTCCAGAAACTTGCTCTTTGAAATATTCGCTACAGGAAAATTCGATGGGAATTCACTCTCGGGAGATTCACTTTCTGAGTATTCTCCACGAATTCGACTTAGACATTTACACTGAAGGATACACCTCCGAGAGGCGCACCCCCGCAGGATTACTTTATCGCACGAATCTAATTCCAAGGAAAATTTACATTCAAGAAACCTAAATTACTTCAAGTAAGTGTCCCTGCTCTCTCTCCAGAAAAGTCTCTTTCGAAAAACTCGTTCCTGGAGGATTTGAGTCCAAAATATATTCGCCGACAAAAATTCACCCAGTCTTTCCCGAAATGTACGTCGCCCAACATAGTCACACCAAGATAATCGACTCGGAAAATTCACAACCAGAAGATTTACCTCCGGAAAGTTGGTCCCGCTAAAATTTTTCTCACTAAGTTTCGCTCCCAAGATCTGTGCTTTGAAAGATTCGTCCCCAGAGGGTTTACCTCACTAATATATTCGTACTTGAAGATTAATCCCCGAATTCTGGCCCTTAAATACACCCACCGAGATATTCGTCTCAGAGAACTCGCCCGCGTGAGGTTGCTTTCCCCCTTTACTTTTCAGAAAGCTATAGACACTTAGGTAATGGACATTTACAACTGCTCTCCTGAAATAACGCTATGTACTCAATTCGAGAGTTCCCTTCTCTTTCTGTTGAATGAGTATTTGAACCGCAAAATTTAGCCTAGAAAATTCGCTCCCGAAATATTTGTCTAAGGTACCTTCCGCAAGGTAATGGTTCTAAGTAAAATCCCTTTTCCCGAGGACAAATTTACTGGGAGGTGGAACAGAGGGGGAGTCTTCCTGGAGACAAATTTGTCACAGATAGAAGGAAGATCCTCTTTCCTCTTTGGAGCAAGAATATTACGGTGGGTGCGAATCTTCGTTGCCGGCTGAAATTTTAGGAGGGCATTCTTCAGAGACGAATATTTCTGGAGCGGATTTACGTATAGGGGTTCTCTTGTAAGAAAATAGTTTCGGTGACCCATTTCATGGAGGTCTATTGTTACACAAGCAGAAAAAAAAATGTTTCTGCTGACGAAAGTATATTCCGTAGGGAGCGAATTTTCCTTGAGCGGATCCTGAGGTACGAACTTTCCGAGAATAAAATTTGTAGATTCAGATATCTCGGGATCCATAGAGGGCGCATTTTTCTTAATGGTGAATCTCCATCCGCAGTATTCCGAAGCGAATCTTCCAGGCAAATCTTCGAGCGACGCATTTTTCAGTAGCAAATTGATTTGGAGAGGGGTATTCTTGGGCGACAATTTTCGGAGGCTGAAAGAATGTGCAGAAGGGAAGTTTAAAATACTTCGCCCAGAAATATTTGCTTCGGAAAATTCTCCCAAGAAGATTCGCCCCCGCGAGACTACCTTCTCGCACAAAACAAGTCCAAGAGAAATTTACCTACTCTCTATGTAACAAAAGTCGTCCCGCTAAATTTGTCTCCGAAAATGGTTGACCAAGAAACTTTAAGATTCTTCTCTAGAAAATTCTCCACCCTAAAATTTAACAAGGAATGGTTCACCTTCAGAAAATTACATTCCAACCACGGAAGATTCGCCACCTTCTATATTCTACGCCTGAAAATTGGGAAGATTCTCTTTTTGAAAACACCCCCAGGAAGATACTTTTCCGTAACGCCCATCCTAAAATATTCGCCTCAAACGATTCTTCCCTCTGAAATATTCGCCAGAAAAATTACCATCACAAGGTTCGCCTCCCGAAGAGTTCATTTCTACACGTATAATCGCTCTCGAAATTTGTTTCCGTAGAAGGTTCCACTAAAGGATTCATTCGCTAGCGGCAAATTCTCTTTTCTCCTGCTTTCTGAAGAAATATTCGCTACCGGAAAATTCGTCATCGTAATTCCGAAATGTCCACCCGCTGAGTATTCGCCCCGAAATCCGGGGGTGCGACCTTTCCGAGGATGAATCTTGCAGGTGCAGGTATCTTGAGATCCGTAGAGGGCGAATTTTTCTTAATGGTGAATTCCGTCAGTATATCTTCTCTCTATCAAATATTCAAACGACGAATTTTTTAGTGACAAATAAATTACTTGGAGAGGGGTATTCTCTCGAAGCTTTTCTGTGTATTATCTTGAGGCACGTTCTTGACGACCGGGTATTCCAACGGGAGCAAGTTTCCATGGGAACAAATGTCTCGGGGGCAAATGTTGCTGAGGTGATTATTTTAGAATCAATCTTCAGTACGTGACAATCTGCGAGCGAATATTACTGAGACAAGTTATCTAGGGCCGAATATTCCATATTACGAATCATCCGGGGACGGAGTCTGCATGTACCATGGCAAACTGTGGGGAAGGAGGGGGGGGGGCGAGTTTTCCTACAATTTTTTATGAATACAGGCATTGAATAATAAGATTTGTTATTCAATGATACAGGTTTAAATATTCCTATGAACAGGAAGAAGCCAAAAATTAAAAAAAATAGAAATCAAGGGTAGTCCGCAATTCAAAGGCGACGATGAAGTCTTCACGAAGCGGAAGGAACGTGAACCACAATTTGGTTCTTCTCCTTTGGCTCCTTTTGCAAATTTCTTCGACTGTCTCGGCATCTTAGGCCATTTGATCTCCCTTGTCTCTCTGAACTTCATCAGTCTCTTAGACTGCGCTTCCTTTTTCAGTTCCGGCACCCTTCTCCTCCATTTAACTACATCGTCCTCTTAAACTACGACGGGTTTATGCACATTTTCGTTCCTCTAGGATTTCCCCAAAGCCCTCGACCTCTTTGGCATGCCTCATTCGACATTTTCGACTTTTTCTACACCTTCTGATTCTTAGGCTCCATCAACTTTATCAGCTCTTGAGTTCCATCGGATTCTTTTCCAGCTTTTTTCAAGTCCTAGAGGTTTCCTATGAACTTGATTTCTTCACTTTCCCATGCTGACTAGATTTATTTGCCTACTGGTCCTTCGGTCTTTGCGGCATGGTCCATTACGTCTTTGCATCAACGCCCTCATCTTCCACGTCTGGAGAATCGGATTTTTGGCAAACGAGTACAAGGGTACAAGACAGGAAAGTGGTTTTCAAGCTCAACTTGTTATTACGGAGGCGGTGAAAGTGGCCTCACTTCGGCGATGGAAGTTCTCCTAAGCCTACCTTCTCTGAATCTGGCAGCCAGTCGTCGAGAAAGCGTAGAGGAAGCGAAGAACTCGACCGCAATTCAGGACATCTAAGAACAACACCGGATAGTGTTACCTCATACAGTAGGTACCTACTTGAGGTAACAAAAGCCTCGGAACTGCTTCAGAAATAAAACAACAAACGACACAATTGCGCCGGAACCATTATAGAGGTCACTCTGTGCTCATTAATTACAGTAATCACTTCCTGCTTCCATGGGGAGCACGGGAGTGATAAGAAAAGAAACCGAAACTTAAGTGGAATCTACTGTATTAGGAATTTATGGAAGAAATAATTATAATGAATTTAACGCTTAAGCGACGTGGTAGTAGAAATTCCTGGTGTCACAAGAACCCATTTAATACTTCATTTGTCTGCGATGTCCAATTTGCACTTACGGCAAACACAAAAGGTCAACAAAAAACCACCGATACCGAGAATAGGAAATTGGTTTTCCCAATCTGACTGCGACAAGAACGGAAACAACAGCCGACATCCCTTCAGGCATTTCTTTGTTCCAGCTGCTGTATTGCAACTGCTTTCCCAAAGGTAATTTCGTTAATGAGAATTGATTTTTCGATCGTAATTCGTCGTAAAATTTTGATGGCAGGTGTACCTTTTCGCTCATTGCGATTCTCTGCGCATCGCTGCCCAAAAAGAGCACAATCGACTCAATCAATCCCGGTGGCCTAAGAAAATACATTTAGCTCACGAAGCCCGTATTTTGTATACAAAGCTCGGTCTCCATTTATAATACAGTTTCATAACTTCAAAACGTAAAAGCTTTCTTTCACGTGCGGATGAAAGTGGATGCTTTAGAATGTCGACTCCTGTCACAATGGAATTTGATATGTCACGCGTATTTGAACGGGTTTAATTGAAAACGTGTACATTGTTTCGCTTTAATGGAGTTGAGGATTTACTGTACAGGATTGAGATTGTGGGAGAATTCTCACTAGACCTATTCAAAAAATTTGGGCGTAATCTACCGAGATCATTAATAAATTGCCTCCGTAAATTTTGGTCTCCAGTCACTTTGAAAAGGATCATCTATAGGGTTGGGATTATTCACCTCTCGTTTAGACGCCCCTGCCGCTTAAGTGTTTTAATGATACAATGCAATTTAAATAAACTCAATTACTTAATTAGAGATATATGCACCCATACGTCTTATTACCACATAGTTTACCATCACGTGAAAGTAACACCTACTGAAGAACTCCCAAGAACAAATTTGATC